GATCTTATGCCGTCTATTCAACAGTGACTATTGGAAATACGAACAAGCGCTTTCAATTGATGTCGCCTCTAACTGTTCATCGCCTGTTTATTAATCTCAAAATGCGCTCTGAAACACCATCTTTCCTTCCAGAACATTCCTTTTGATCGTATCTAGGTGAACAAAAGTGCGAAGCAATAGCAATAGCTTTACGGCTCAATTTAGAGCAACGTCTTTTTTTTACTGTCCCCTTAGTTCACATTTTCCCATATGCGCAAACTTTGGATTCTATCTGACCCTGAATTCCTAAAGGTTCTTTAAAAATTTTGTGAAGGGGCAGCAGTAATTCGTGAGCATCTACAAGAAGTCAGATGCCATACGTAAGTTTGAAGCTGGGTATTCTTCATTTTCTTTATGAACACAGAAGCATAACAACTTTTCTCCCAGACATTCCAAACAGGTAATCATTTAAGAACTTGGTCTCACCCTCTCGTCTTCCTCCATCCTCTTCCGCATCACTTTGATTTGTCCCGATATAGTTTTGAGTTCGAGGCAGGCCTTCTGCATGCTTTTATTCACTTCCAAAAGTGCACCCTCTAGAAAACTGCATCTTGTTGAACTGATACTTCCGGCTAATCACATACGAATCCACTCACGTTGTTCTTGATCGGATTCATAGCCGGACACGGTGTAAGTTGGAGGATTCCGCTTCGTGGGTGGTCTTCCAATGTACGCATTCGGCAGCGTTGTGTTGACCGACTTCTCGCCATGAGAATTCCCTTCAAAAAAATTGAAAAGTGAAGGAGATTGGAATTTTCCTTTGATTAAAAAGAAGGGAATTGAGACAAGAAAGCCATGATAAGAGATTAAGAATTTCGCAGGGTTCAAGCCAGTTTTTCAAGCTTATATTTACTTTCAGTCTCTACTCCAAAAAACGTAATAACATCGAAAGTGATGTAATTGGGAGTGTTGTGTCTATCTCCGCTCGAACATGAATTGCAATCAATCTCCGTTTAGATCTGGAATTGGTAAATAAGAAAATCGTCAGATTGAAATTGATCAACCTTATAATGTGCCTTCTTACAACATCTAATTAGACCTCAATTTGCTGTTGATTTTTTAAACTTTTATTTCTTTCGCAAGTTTGTAATACTTATTGGTTCCAAAGAATGAAACTCAAAAGTAGCTTTCCTTTAAAAATT